GAAGGAAATCTAACAGGATATTTAAAATTAATAAATATATTGTTTAGTTCAATTAGGGGAACAAAGAATTGTAGTATTTGAGTCATATAGAGAAACAGAATAACAGAAGCGACACCCTCGAACAAGTCTGTAATTATGAATTAAAACTAACAGATACTAGGAGCGGATCATAACAAAGGAAAAATGTATGTGATTTCCTTATCTCACCATACAGTAATACCTGTGTATCTTGTCTTAAAGTGGCTGTGTCTTGAACGCCAGAGAATAGTTGTGAAACGGAAGTGATGTATGAAATATAATGCAGTGTAGTGCAATATTATGAACTGTGGTGAATCGTAATTAGAGACCACAAATTAAATTATACCATAGCAGGGTAATTATCGAAATAGTGATACTGTTACTGTAAATTAATATAGTCACCATCGGAGGCTGTCTCGTGTCATCGTTTTCTCAATAACTCCCGAAAACGTAACATGTTATCATTTCGTGAACCGGTACCTTGCCAACACTGTCAGTTTTGGTACAATTTACACCAAAAGGTTATCATGTTAACCTTATCACTTGTTGATCAAACTTATTAAATTTGATCGAAATCCGCAAACACCGTTCCTGAGTTATATCGGGAACAGTTAGACAGACAAAACCAAAAACAATACCCAATCCTCGATTGCTGAAGAAAAAATATTGGAAAAGAATGTTGCGTCAAATAATGAAGTTTAATGAAATGCAGTGCTTTCTCATTAAACGCAACAAAATAGTTAAATGTAATAAAATGTGATGTAAGGAAATGTAATAAAATACAGCGTAATTATGTGTAAAAAAGATCAATGCAATGGAATGTCCCCAAAAGGTCGCTTAATGTAATACAAGTGCAAGTGAGGCTCCAGAAGTCACACAAGTAAGCGAGGAGGTAGTCCGGCAGCATGTGTACACATTTGGGATCTACTTTAAACTGCGTACCAACTTTTGTTTTTTTATTAATTTCTAGTTGTTAACATGCCGCATGATAGATCAAATAAAACTTGTTGCAAAACAATCTGTTTGGCTTTTAAAAAATATTTTAGAGCTGTCAAATTATGCAATATTAGGGTAAGGAAAATAGTAAATGTAGGCGACCAAATTGAGTTTATTTCTTACAAAAGCACTTACTTGGGAGTCAAAAATGGTAGTGAGTGTAGAATTTCCACACTTGCTTACCCAATTGGTCATTTTCAATATTTTCTCAGCTCCAAAGGAACCATACTGTATATCATAGTACGTACGGTCTTGATTTTCGCCTAAGGTCAAAGGTTGTATTGTAATGTGTATTCAAGATGCAAATGATGCTCCGTCAATGCCCATCATTGATGCGATGTGCTTAGTAAATATGGATAAGAAAACCCCAGACAAGTCTTATGCTCAACAGTTTTCCCAAAGTTAATAGGCATGATGGACAGCTTGAGCAACAGTTATGATGAAGTCAGGATGGTGTTTGACCAATACATTCAAATCTCTTTGAAAGAAGTCACTCGAGATAAGAGAACTCAGAAGCAAACTCCTATACATTACCATGTCAATGATAATACCGAGATCATGGATATAAAAAAATCTTGGCACACACCAGCACCAAAGCTAAACTCACCCAATATTTTTCAGAGAAGGTGGTCAAGTACTATCAGCGAAAATTCCACAAACTTCTTGTCATGCACCAAACAACAATGATAGCCAACTGTTTCCTATCTGAAATTGTAAGCTTGCCGGAGATGACTACTGCCCAGCACGACCTAGAAGAGGGAGACCAGCTTGTTATTCTCAACGCATTTGACGTAAAGCACAAAAATCCACTGTCAACTATTCATGTGCTTTCAGTAGACACAGATGTATATGTTCTCCTTACTGGCCTGTATCCTTTACTACCAAGTTCACCACACTGTCAGGAAAGAACAGTGAGAAAATTAAGATACAAGTCACCTGGGGTTGAGAAATAAGAGCTGATGCATTGATTGCGTGGTACACCTTTAAGGGAACTGATAACACAGGGTCATTTGCAGTCAAACGAGTAGCAAGTCAAATGAAAGCCTTTTTGCAAGCCGATGATGATATTCTGGAAGCTTTCCCCCAGTTTGTGGAGACAAATGATCTGCCTTATTGGGTCCTTCGCCAGACGGAGTGGTATTTGTAATTACTCTACGGGACTGAAGACATCAATGCTTCCACTCTCCGAGACATCAGATGGCAGTTATTCGCCCAAAAGGGTAAGGAAGGCCAACAACAGCCGCCGACTTTAGGAACACTTATTCCCCACACCCAGAGGGCACAATACATGGCCTTGATTTGGAAGTCCTCAAAAAGACCTTGTTCACAACTTCCTCCACCTACAGATTACCAATGGAACATTGTGGACGACCGATTGATGCCAGTCTGCTGCCTTAATCCACCCGCTCCTGAAGCACTGCTGGAATATTATCAGTGTAGTTGCATAACAGCGTGTAACAAAAAGTAGTGTGGATGCCTCAAAATAACAGTTACCATGTAAAGATATGTTTGGGTGGTGATATACTGTATGCATGAACACTGCGCAAGAAGGACCTTTCGATGACACGGACTAATTTCACATTAACAGTACTATTTAATGGAAACACAAGTCCATAGCTGGTGTCTTATATTAAATACAACACCTATTTTTCTTTAGATACTCAACACTTATGTCGTCAGGATCAATAGAATGTGTGATTTTTAAAGATCGGACAAATGACGATATATTGCATGTACTTTAAGTGGGCATGCAAAATCTTGTATGCCTCTTTGTAAATTTTTGAATGCCTTAAAAGTTAAGGTGGACTGTAAACTGAGCTGGATTAAAGAGGGGCCCAGGGGACACTTGTCCCGGGTCCCCCTACTCAAAGGGGCCCTCTGGTGGAGAACAAGAAAGAAAAGTTAATATTATTTATTAAGAACACTGTAAGATAACATTAACAGGACCATCATAAGTGCACCAGCCCCAAAAAAAAAAACATTTAATCAGCCCTTGACTGTAAATCACGTATTCATATTATTTCATAGCGTCAGCATGTATTACTTTGCATTTTATGGCACAAGGATCCAATACTGAATTACATTGTAAAATATATGTGTCTATTTTTAGCAATTTTCGGATTTTCGGGTTCTTCATTATATGCCCATTTAAGGAAGAGGGCAAATGCAAGGGTGAAAAAAAAATATTTTATTTCATTAGTTGACTTGTTTTTAAAGATAAGCCACTGAGTAACAAAAGTTGGCAGGGTTTTTAAAGTGCGTTGCAAATACTTAGTAAGGGACTAGAGGAGATATTTAATTAATTCTTCAGCCCTGATTAAACTTGACGGACGCAATAACTGAGTTATAAAAAAAATTGAGGATTATATTTTACAGGTTAGAAATATCAACTAGCACACTAAAAATAGAGGATAATAAAGTGATATCCTCAGTTGGGTTTGGATAAAACACAAGAAAAATGTTGTTTGAAGAACATTTCGTAAGGAATACTGCATTGTTTAATTCGTGTTCTGGATGACACTCTAAAATGTTACACAAAGTATTACTACTGTATAAGGATGTCAGAAGTGACCAACTGTAACTGTACTGACAACACAAGAAATTCATTGTATGTCAGTTTTAAACCTTGTATGTATGTAAAAAACTCGGGTGTGAAGAAGTGTTATCTAGTTTCATTTAGAGAAAAAAAATTTGAGCAATAGAAAGCTTATATTTGACTGTGAATATCTATCTGTTTTGATAGAATTTTTCTTTCAGAATAACGAAACAACTACATATTTCCGACGGTTATTAAGAACAAAGCCTGCAACTTATAGTGAATGCGCATATATTACGATGGAACAAGCTGTTTGAGAATATGACAGGTAAAAAGGGTGTATAATACATCTCGTTGTGTGAGGAATATGGACACGTTCAATAGTTCCCTCCCAAGTAGGATTCTTTAGTGTTCGAATACTCGAAATGTTAATAAAAGGAACATGAGCTCATCCTTGTTTTGCAACCTTGTGGTATTGACTTTTATGCTAACATTCTATTTTTACAAACATCATAGCCGAAATGTATTGAATTTTATGAACCTAATAATTTTCAGTGTATCATTGATTATAGATTTTTTCTTTAACGTTTAACAGGCTATTGGGATGAACTTTACATAAAAGAGCACCACTTCAAAATTTACCTTCGCTGTTGATTAATGACCTTAACTGTTGTATCTGTCACTGTGGTGTTTGGGCTATTCAAGACAACCTGAGAAGAATTGCAGTATATACAGTACATGATAATTGTCAAGGCTCCCTCACTGGCGATTAATATCAACAATTTGACGGAAATAAATTGTTTGAAAGTGTCCCGACATTTGCATGAAATGATTGTCACTACATGCTGCATACTTTAATATCTTAAACTGGTAAAAGATATATCACTGATAGTCATTTATTATAAACCTTAACTTAATTACGCTGTCACTCCTGGTGTTCAGAGTTAGCAAGACATGGATTTCTGGGCCAACACACCATGAACGTCTCTACTTTACACACACACACACACCAGTAAACTCCTGTTGTAAGCTCTTAAGAAAAACAACTAATACATCGATTACAAAGTTCATAAATACATACTGTATTAGAAACGTAGTGTTCATTGACTAGTTCTTTAAACTATCGGATTAGGCAACGTTCAAACAACTCCGGTATATGAAATTAATTTGAGAAAATCCAAGTTTCAGTAAAGCCTGTTAGCTGTAGTAAAACGATCACATGAAATAGAAAATTAATCGCATAAATCGGAAGATGTCATAGTAAACGAGACAAAATTATGATTGTATTTAAAAAGCCGAATTTGTGTTTACCATCACGTCGTCGCTGTCTCTAGTAAATATGCACATTAAACCAGCACTAACCTTTGATATAACCTTTCACTAACTTCGAAAATAAAGATTTAATTTGAAAACAAGTTTCTCAAGGACCAAGCTTAGCACGACACATCACCAGAGAGCAGGTCAGCTGGGTCGGGGAGAGCGGGGCCGAACATCCACCACGTGCCACTGCCGCTACCACACTGAGACTGAATTCTGGCCTGGCTTGCTTGGTGTCTAGCAGCTCTAGCTCCTAGGTCGGAGTAGTGGCGTATATCCAAAGGGGTGATAAGAGTGTGGAGGAGGAAGGGGGTCAAGCGTGAAGAGGATATGCAAACACTGTGTTATTGGTATAATCGTAATTAGTTATGTGCAGTACATAGGGTAAAAGTGTTCTGCGTTAAGTATGTGTTATTATAACCTGTTGGATAAAAATTGGACCACAGCAACCTGCTTTATGTTGAGTAGTGTGTGTAAAGAACTATATGTAACACTAGAATGGGTTTGGGGTTTTCTCGAGTGGAAAAATTTCTTCTTACAGTATTTAAAAAAAATGTGATATAAAAATCAGCTGATGATATCAACGAAGACCACCAAGACACGTGAGATCTGCTGTTCTGTGAGCCACAACAGAGACGAGGTGTGTGTGTGTGTTCCTGTCTTTCAATTAAGGTGTAGACTGCAGGGGTTCTCAACCGGGGGGGGGAATTTCCCCCCCTCAGGTTTTCAGGGGGGGGAAAACTGATACTAATATGGAAAAAATAAAGGATTTTCAGTATTATATGCATATTATTTGGAATGCACTTTTTGAGGCAGACAATCTTGGAAAGGAGGGGGGAATGACATTCTGACATATGGTGAAAGGGGTGCATGGGGCAAACAAGGTTGGGAACCACTGGTGTAGAGTATCTCTCCCCTCTCTCCATCTGCGTCTCAACAGGAGTATCAATTACGTATTCATTTGGAATATGTAAACATCAGATGTGCGCGTGAGTGGATGTTGGTTATGCTCTTAGTTTACAGAACTCACTATAGAGGCACTGTGTATTGCTAAGCTTCCAAACCGGAACAATAGTTTAGGTTTCCAGCCCCCCCTACAGGGAAGCTGGAGTAATGTATAATTGCTGTTTTGTATCATCAAAATTTGGTATTTTCTTTAATAATTACATAATTTGAATAAGAAATGAGTTTATTTGTGTCTGACCTGTATAATTTATTACATTTCGTGTTTCAAACGTACAAAAATATATGAATATATGTGACAGTATCTGCACTTCATTATGCAATTAGTTATTGTAACAAATTTCATGTAACAAATTACTCTTATGTTGCCTTTTTAATTCCTTATATTTATTTATTTATTTATTTATTTATTTATTTATTTACTTATTCTTACTTCTTTTACTTACTCTTACTCTTTCTTTTACTTATTCCTGCTATTCTTTCTTGTTACTCGTGAGAGGTGGAGATAATTGTTTATGGTTGCGGTCGGCTGGCAATATAGGCTTACAGTTGGCCCTCCCACACACACCAGCCAGGGAAGACTCAGGGAAGCTGGTTAGGGGAACTAAGATACAATACTTCACAGAGGGGAAATATAGGATAGTTATTGTATATCTGCATAATACCAAGACATTTATAACACATCACTCTTTCTCAATGAGGGAGGGATGAATTAGGACTCTTATTAGCGGTTACTGTATTTATTGAATACCTTATATTAAGGTTTAACAGTTACACTTCAAAATAATAAACCTATGTGCCTAGCTAGTCAAACGGGTACCAACAAATGGGAACTTCAGGATTTACCAAATAGAATTCACCCAAATACCTGCCATGTCGCCACCACAGACGTTCCACACCTCCCTACACACAATTCCAACACAGACTCTTCTTTTCAAACTGTGTCAGCCCACAACTTTCATGACTTTACGCCTCATAGGCTTTCTCATTGGTCGAAGACAGGCCTAAGGCATTCATACTATTGCCTCGAAATTGGCGGGAACTCTTAAGTGGTGGGAAACTCGTGACATTATTACATTATACACAATGCACTTTGTTCTAGTCCTTTGATCACAATTATTTTAAATTATGGAATTAAAATGCAATTGAACTGTTTATTGCTTATTGAACATTACTGACATTATAGTGACATAGTAAGTTATATGTATAAATAAAATGTCCCGCTCCCCTCATGCTCAACACACACGCTTTCATCTTATTCATACCAGTCGTACCCATGATTTACTGAGAACAACACTTAACCAATCATACCTTCAGGCATAGCTTTTTTGGATCTCCTGAAGATTAGAATACCCCACCTTATATCACCTGATGAATAATCACCCTAACTGTAACCTAGCCTAGCCTAATCCAATTTAGCCTAGCCTAGCCTAACCTATCCCCTAACTTAAGCAGTGTTAGAGTGATTAATATTCAAGAGAAATAAGCTAGGATATCTAACCTTCAGGGTTCCACTTTTTTTCCATTTTACTTCCAATCAGTTAACAAATCTCATTATATTAACAATTAGTGTCATATTTTTTTCAAAGCTTCATGTAGAGCCTTTACGTCTCTTTCCCTGAGCCTCAAAGAATTTGTGCGGTTAACTTCCAGCACCCGGACTCTGAGTGGCACCCGTCTCTACACATCCCTGAGGAGGAACGTGGTCCCGCCTGCCCCTCTGGACCAAACTTATGTCAGCTTTCTTTCACATAAATAACAACTTTCTCTTTTTAGATGTCACCCAAGAATGCCTCGCCAGGACAGCGTAAGGTAAATTTGTTAGTTACCTGTAAGGCCACTCTTTTCTCAAAGATTGATTGAATTTAGGTCATCAAGTATATATACACGTGTGGACACATACACAACCCATACAGTATATATGATCCTGTGTTGAAATGGTAGTATTATAAATTGAATATTTTTCCTTTCTCGACAAACAGTGTGTCGTGGAGGCCTTTATGCCTAGACTTAGTTAAAAGTTATTTTGACTTTTGAGGTATTCATTATACTATTACACGACAGAATTAGTGGGTAACTTGAACACTTTTCAACTTGATTATTTGTGATGCACCTTGGTGATGTTCTTAACCCAGATAATTCATGGTTATCATGTACCTTTGTTGCAAAGTTTGAAAAAAGAATTGTAATGCAATGACCTCGAGGAATCTTTGCCGATTTGTTGTCGTGTTTCTCCACCAGTGACATCGACTCTGGCTTAGGGTATTTCCCTTGATGCATTTTGGGAAATATTGATCCCATACCAGGTTAAGCGGATAGCACTCGAAGACAAAACACAGAAGACTCATAGTCGTCATATGTTGAGCAAGTTGGCTTTGGTTATGTCGAATGGATAAGGACCAACCGTCGATGATTACAGCTTTAAGGTGAGACCTCAGTGTCCTACGTTGAACTTCTCCTTCAGGGATCTTCTCCGACGATACAGTGACACAATTTAACCTTGTTGGTGGTCGCCTTCATTGCAGGAGGAGGAGTTGCAGACTCGTACTCGAAAAAAAAGAGGCAACTTACCTAGGCGCGTGTGCAAGGAGCCACAGAATTGGCCGTATAGTGATGTCTGATCATTGAAGAGGGAAGTTTCTTCTGGGATCTGTCTTTCTTTACTTTGGTTGACCTTAAATAACTTCCGGATGTCACATGGTTCACTCCACCAATTAATACCTCGAAATAACAGTTTTGTATTATAAGAACTGTCATTTGACTCGATGCCAGCCTTCGTTGGATCCTCTGTTGTTATTTGATCTTCAATTACTTCAAATAAGGTCACGTTGGTGACCCTCTTTGTGGTCAGATTTTTGGCGCACCTTTCGAATCGTGTATAAACAATAAAAGACACTCAATTATCATCAACCAATTCCTTATAACTGAGCTTGAGGATCTGTAGTAGTCCACAGGATTATACTTATTTCAGAAGTGGCAATATAGATCTTTTCTGTAAAACTGTCGCAATAATTTTGAAAATTTTAAATTGCGCCATTACGTTGCTATCAGAGTGGAATTCAATTTTCTGGGGATTAGATTAATCAAGGTTATAAGATCAATCAGTCAGACTGGCTTTCCGGGGAGGAACACGGGAGTAAGACCAATAACACCAGCTGTGACACTAATTGATACTCTCGCTGAGACGCAGAGAGAGAGAGAGAGACTGCAAACAGAGACAGGAACACCACACTCACATAAACACACACAGTGTGAATGTTCGACTTTCATATTTTTGTGTTTATTGATTGTGACTGCTTTGTGACAGTCATAGGCGTCCTTTGTCTGGTACGTTCACATATATATATATATATATATATATATATATATATATATATATATATATATATATATATATATATATATATATATATATATATATATATATATATATATATATATCCAATTATATGCTGATAACCATATACTTGGGTCACGCACACCTACAGTTATTTACTTGCATATATATACAAACAATATCTCACTAGTCGGGAATCGAACCCTGGACCTCTGCGTGTGGACAGGGATCGCTACCACAGCGCCACAAAGAGAACAAAAGCATTCCTAGACTTTGTTTTATTTCACACAAAGCCTGTTCATTCGTCTTTTTTATGCAACGTGAACATCTATTGGGGAATGTGCGTGCCAACTATGTGGTCCTTGTGGCGCGGTGGTAGTGATCTGTGCTCGCACGCAGAGATCCAGGGTTCGATTCCCGACTAGTGAGGTATTGTTTGCATATGGAAGTCCACGGGCTATATGGACTGGTGAAATGTGTACTGTATGTGCAATGTGTCTAGTGTGGCAGCATTATGTTAGTGTTAAGGCGCAAGCACTGCTTGCTTCCTCTCTCTTTAAGCTACCGCCGCTGGCTCGGCCTCGTGGCGAACAGGGAAGCAACTTGCATAAGTCTTCCCCTGCCAGTACACAGCCTCCTCACCATCAAGACTCCTGCTGTGCCTCCTCGTGGCAACACACGGTAACTGGGTGCCTCGTGGGCTAATAAGGCGAAACACAAGAGAATGGAGTATCGGCAGTCCATTGCAACTCTCCCTCTCCCCAGTCGTTCAACACTTGCACCACTGGATCAGGAAAAGGGAGAGTCAAAATGTGTGGTTGCAGCCTGCACTCCTGCCTCACCACATAAATCAACTCACCATGCTTCTTGTCATCATCAACACCCCTATACTTCGAAAC